CTCATACATGTAGTGTTGCGTGGTCTGACTCATATACATGTAGTGTTGCATGGACTGACTCATACATGTAGTGTTGCGTGGTCTGACTCATACATGTAGTGTTGCATGGTCTGACTCATACATGTAGTGTTGCGTGGTCTGACTCATATACATGTAGTGTTGCATGGTCTGACTCATACATGTAGTGTTGCATGGTCTGACTCATACATGTAGTGTTGCATGGTCTGACTCATACATGTAGTGTTGCGTGGTCTGACTCATATACATGTAGTGTTGCATGGTCTGACTCATACATGTAGTGTTGCATGGTCTGACTCATACATGTAGTGTTGCATGGTCTGACTCATACATGTAGTGTTGCATGGTCTGACTCATACATGTAGTGTTGCATGGTCTGACTTCTGTCATATATAATAATGCTCCTCTGCCTGCATGTATCTTATTTTGTTTTTAATTTGTCTCATGGTTCAAAACACATTGAGTGTGGTGTTGTGGTGTTGTGGTGTTGCGGTGTTGTGGTGTTGTGGTGTTGTGGTGGCGCGTGTGGCCAGGTCATCCGCCGCCTCCACCACTGTTCCAACACCTGTCGGAATCCACATGAATTTCACTTTGTGACCTTCTAGCTTTATCTCATTTAATTTGTTTTTTTACAATGGTCAACTATGGACATGACGATGGTGTTTCGACTGTTTAATGACTCGAGTGCTCCTCGGGTATTGACAAATACGAAAACATATTTTTCGTCTTGAACTAATTCGTCCAAACCAGCCAGAATGGCTGCAATGTAACTTGAGTGGACGAATTAAAATGACTAGATTGAATTTAAATTGTCCTGTCCACAATCCCATACTGGGTGTTGGCCAGCACAGCCTGCCCTGCCCTGCCGTCTTCCACCACACACCCGTCACAGTACACAGGTAAACTATTGCCTCTTGGTAGTCAAGATATCATACTTCCATACACACACCGTAGTTGTCTCGGATCATGCTGAATCTTTTTTCACCTTGAGGGGTAAAATTTCCACTTCTGCCTTGTGTACCTTCCAGGAAGGAGTTTTACTAGACTGTTGTGAGTGTTTGCAGCAGTCAAGAACATCGTATCCCTGAGGCCATTAGCCTTGTGTCATTAGCATGTCTCTGTTTCCTGGAGGTTTGTACATCACTCAAAAATGTTAAGGTCAGGTTGTTGTGTTCCTTGGCTTGTGGAACACCAATATAGTATACAGCGAAGTCTTGTATGGGAGCCACAGTTCATACTTCCCACTCTACCTTCATCTACTCACACCCTAACCTACAAACACTAAATAATGTTGTAAATTACGAATTAAAAAAATCCACTTATGGATGTCAACCAACAAACTCACATTAAACATTGAAAAGATCTACTACATTCTATCTGGAAGCAAATCATCAAATGAAATTCAACTTCAGATAGACAATGTTAACATCAGCAATAAAAATGATGGAAGGTTCCATGGCCTGTACATAGACAACAGACTGAACTTCAGCACCCACATACAACACATAAGCAAAAAAGTCTCAAAAAAGATTGTATACTCTCTAAATCATATATTATGTTCCAAACTGTTCTCCTCTCATTATACTACGCGCTAATCTATCCCTATCTTACATACGGAATCTGTGCATGGGGTCAACCACTGTAAACTACCTCAAGCCATCATCCCCCAGCAAAAATCTGTTATCATAACAATAACTCACTCTATTTTCAGACAACACACAACCTCGATGTTTAATTCCGTAAACATGCTAAACATAAACTCACTCCACATATTCTCACGCGCTACTTTCATCACAAAACCTTGTTCCTAAATGCTAATCTTGATTTAAACTCTTCCTTGACAGATGTAATAGAAACCATAATCATCACACCAGAAATAAATATATCTTTGATATCCCCAGAGTCAAACTAAATCGGTGCAAATAGAGACCTGGTCTATGGGACTCACTCCCTAACGAATTAAAATGCTGTCCATCCTACCCATTATTCAAAAGGAAAACAAAAAAAAACATGTTTTCAGTCCTACTTGAGAGAACATATTCTCCAACACTATATCTGTGATTGTCCTGTTATCAGTGACTTCATACCAAATGGTATGAGGTACTTTGAGCTCTGTAATTACTTCATACACTCAGGAATATTGGAAGATATTCTTGTGCTGCACCCAGATTTTGCCAGTGGAGGCTAATAGATCAGCCTTAAGTATTTTGTTCTCTCCTGATTCCATGTATGACTGGCCATCCTGTGAGGTGAGGATGATGGATGAGCTTGTAGCTGGTTTTTGATCTAGATTGTGTGGTCCTTCATACAGAATAGGGAAGCAGTACATTGCTGTGTATACCTAAGCTTCTTAATAAAAAAATTCAGTAATAAAGATTTTAAATTATAGTTTGTATTATTACAAATACTGTATTATCCTTATTAAATCATCTTAACCATGGATCATTAAGATATCATGTTGATATGTAATAGTCATATTTCATTTGAACTGTTAATCCATGCTAATCATTTTTGAATCATTCATTAAATTGTGCATTATGTCTCAATTTTTCACTTCCTTGGATATTCTGTACAGTACAAAAAGATAGGATAAAAATATACCAGTAATATTTTTTTCATCATATTTTTTTCAATAACTGCATCAATATTTTTACAGCTGACAGGATTTGTTTTCCCATACAGGTGCATTATTTGTTAAAAAAAAAATTTGGTTTATTGTTACACACAATGGTGCTACATAGCCTTCCCAGCTTGGTGCCTTCTTTTAATACTTACTGATTAAAAAATAAACAATAATAAATAAATTTTATTCAGGAAAAGTACATACAGTTGATTTACAAACATAATGTTGGATTTATAGGCAGAGCTAGTACATACAATACCTAAAGCCACTAATACTCATAGCATTTCGGGCAAGGTGTGGGGGGAAAACACTTAGACTAAAACTTAATAGTAATCGGGATTAGGTATAAATTGTGTTGAAAGAAGGAATAACAAATACAAAAAAAGGGGGTAACAGCAGAAATCAGCAATTGTACACGTTGGTGAACAAACAGCATTGTTTAAAAAATAGCAAGACATGGGTTGACATTTAGTGGGTAAGGTAGGTTACATGGAGCTAATTAGGCAGTACTTGGTTTTACTCTGAAACTGGTAGAGAGGGGTACAGCCTTTGACATGATTCGGGAGGTCATTTCACATTCTGGGTTCCTCGATTTGTAGAGCACATCTAGTTTGGTTACACACAGCCAAATTGTGTAACAGGAAGAGGGCTTGGACACAAATTTGTTCCATGCTAAATGTAGAGGAATCAGCTGAGTATTCCCCAAATAAAATATGCTGTCTCAGCATATAAGGTAAATTAAATAAGCATTCTTCAAATAAGTAGCTGCCTCACCCCTCTGCCTTACTGCTACATAGCCTTCCCGGCATGGTGCCTTCTTTTGATAATTACTTGTTCCACACCCAAGTTGTGTAACAGGAAGAGGTCTTGGACCCCTACTTCCCTCTCTCTTTTTTAATAGTCTATATAGTCATAATTATAGCGTTAAGTATTCAATGAATAAAGTTTTTGACATTTTTACCCTTCTCCTTACCTAACATCATTTGTGCAGCATATTTTTATTTTATGTCTCACCCAGATTTAATTTGAAAATACAACCAAACTAAATAAATTAGAAATGGGTATGTATAGCTAAGGTACACCCTTACTACTAAGTGAACAGGGGCATTTGGTGATAGTAAATGATCCCATCAGGCAGAGCTCATCACCTTCTCTCATATTTCATGTTCACCAGTGTTTATTTACTTAATAACTACTGGTATAATATATTGCTATTATAAAACTAATTCTAATATCATAAAAGACATATTTACTTCAAATTTCAAGCAGAGAATGCATATATAACTAACACGAAGGACTCCTCTTCACGAGATAAACCAGCTATAATCTTTTGTTTATGTTCCAAAATCTTAAAATCGATCCTCCGTGTTGTGTAGTAGAGAAAAATTCAGTTATATCCAGTTTACGTTAAGCTACGAGTGGTCGACAGCACACTTAGATGACAGAGCGAACTTACGAAGGTTTTTCTTCTTAGTGTGTCTACCTGAATACCGACGTAGCCGCCACGAAGGCGCTAAGAAGAAAAACATTCGTAACTAAGAAGAAAAACATTCGTAAGTACCTTGGTGAATCTGGCCACTGGTCTGCGGTCGTTCTCTTCCGTGAGTGTAAGAGTCAACAGGTGTGGTAGTTATGGTTGTGTTGGGCCCCCCAGGCTCCCAGCATGGCCACACCTCACTAACCCTTCCCCCTCACTAACCCCCGCGACCCACCCTACCTCACCACCCCCGCGGCCCACCCTACCTCACCACCCCCGCGGCCCACCCTACCTCACCACCCCCGCGGCCCACCCTACCTCACCACCCCCGCGGCCCACCCTACCTCACCACCCCCGCGGCCCACCCTACCTCACCACCCCCGCGGCCCACCCTACCTCACCACTCCAAAAAAACTTTTTCAGTGTCAGCGTAGTTAACAGATGTAATGCACTAGGCAGTGATGTGGTGGAGGCTGACGCCATACACAGTTTCAAATGTAGATATGACAGAGCCCAGTAGGCTCAGGAATCTGTATACCGAATGATTGAAAGTTGAGAGGCGGGACCAAAGAGCTGAAACTCAACCCCCACAAGCACAACTAGTGCATAGTGACAACTAGCGAGTACCCAGAGACGGGGCCGGACCACACTACATCCCACACTATACAACTCTCACTACTTCGCCAGTAAACTGGTTCTCACACTTTCTAAACGTCAACAATTAACACAAAAAACATGTTTGAGAGAATGACGAGCCCTTTGATGGCCAATACTGCTAATAGTGCCCCACTGTTGAGCGCCCCACTGTTGAGCGCCCCACAGTAGGGCCGTTCTCTCTGCTCCGTTCCTTGGCTGTGCGCTTGAAAGTAATTATAACAAAATATGAATTTTCGTTATAGGGAAAATGGTGGCAAGTAAGTCAGACAAAAATAGTTGACGCTGTAGTACACGTTTGTCAGGTGGTGGTGATGTAACCCAGCTGTCAAGAGGTGGTGATGTAACCCAACTGTCAAGAGGTGGTGATGTAACCCAGCTGTCAAGAGGTGGTGATGTAACCCAACTGTCAAGAGGTGGTGATGTAACCCAGCTGTCAAGAGGTGATGATGTAACCCAGCTGTCAAGAGGTGGTGATGTAACCCAGCTGTCAGGTCACCGTGGTTCACCTGGCAACATTTCTATACTTGTTCTCTTAGCCTCCCACGTGAGTGTGTAAGTATTATGTATCATGACGCAGCGTTCTAGGGAGCGTCCCCACCGTCAACACACTGTGGTACTAACCCACTTACGGCCTCCTGATGCCCGTGCCTGCTCTTGGCTGGCTTAATTGTCATCAATAGGTCTGTCGTACTAACGTGCCCTAACCTAACCTACCTACGACGACCTACGAACAGAAAACGGAACATAATGGCAATATCGAGAGGCGCTATTTTCTTGTACGACAGTTTTTGGCTTTAGGTAAAGTGTTGGTCAAACTGAGAGGCGCTATAACGACGACAGGCTGTACGACGACGACAGTTTGTACGACGACGACAGGTTGTACGACAACGACAGGTTGTACGACGACAACAGGCTGTACGACGACGACAGTTTGTACGACGACGACAGGTTGTACGACGACGACAGGTTGTACGACGACAACAGGCTGTACGACGACAACAGGCTGTACGACGACAACAGGCTGTACGACGACAACAGGCTGTACGACGACAACAGGCTGTACGACGACAACAGGCTGTACGACGACAACAGGCTGTACGACGACAACAGGCTGTACGACGACAACAGGCTGTACGACGACAACAGGCTGTACGACGACGACAGGCTGTACGACGACGACAGGCTGTACGACGACAACAGGCTGTACGACGACAACAGGCTGTACGACGACGACAGGCTGTACGACGACGACAGGCTGTACGACGACAACAGGCTGTACGACGACAACAGGCTGTACGACGACAACAGGCTGTACGACGACAACAGGCTGTACGACAACGACAGGCTGTACGACGACAACAGGCTGTACGACGACGACAGGCTGTACGACGACGACAGGCTGTACAACGACAACAGGCTGTATGACGACAACAGGCTGTACGACGACAACAGGCTGTACGACAACAGGCTGTACGACGACAACAGGCTGTACGACGACAACAGGCTGTACGACGACAACAGGCTGTACGACGACAACAGGCTGTACGACGACAACAGGCTGTACGACGACGACAGGCTGTACGACGACGACAGGCTGTACGACGACGACAGGCTGTACGACGACGACAGGCTGTACGACGACGACAGGCTGTACGACAACGACAGGCTGTACGACGACGACAGGCTGTACGACGACGACTGGCTGTACGACGACAACAGGCTGTACGACAACGACAGGCTGTACGACAACGACAGGCTGTACGACGACGACAGGCTTGTACGACGACAACAGGCTGTACGACAACAACAGGCTGTACGACGACAACAGGCTGTACGACGACCACTGCACGGGAAGGTGACGGACATGACCACGACGCTGTACTGAACTTGGCATCAAGTGCCAACGTCACCCAGAAGAGATCATCAACTGAAGGGTGGCATCTAACCTGAAAGTTCAAGCCTTTCTAATGACCTTTAAGCTAAAGTGTTGACCTCTAATGGGTCTCGAGTGAATAATAAAGGTTCGCAGACGCGATTACATGACAATTATTCCACGGTTAACAATTATTAGACTTTGGGAGAGTGTAAGTTAAGGGTGCAGGAAGGAACGACACACCTGCACAGGCAACACTTAAGGGCAGGCAGTGCTCGCCACTTAAGGTCAGGCGGTGCTCGCCACTTAAGGGCAGGCGGTGCTCGCCACTTAAGGGCAGGCGGTGCTCGCCAGATGGCAGCTCCACCACCCGGCAGTCTGGATTTCTCCTGATTGAAGTCTCCAATAATTATAAGTTTTGCTCTCACTCTGTGAGCATTTGTTGCTGCTTCTTCAATATGTTTATTACATCTGTTTCTCCTTGTTCTCCAGGCCAGGCTGTCCTCGTGCTCCCTGCTGGAAGGTGCACAACCACTCCCACCTGGTCACCTCCACATGTCATTATGATTCCTGTCACACAGTCGTTACATCCATTTGTGTCTGTCATTAATGTCCACACACTTCCACTCCTATTTAACACACAGTGAAACGCCTCTGTTTCATTTGTTTTTTCTAAGATGATATGGTTGCCTCTGGGAAACACTGCATTGTTATCATCTCAGTAAGTTTAGTCTTGGCCATAGATTTGGCCTAGGGAGCCGGTCGGCCGAGCGGACAGCACGCTGGACTTGTGATCCTGAGGTCCCGGGTTTGATCCCGGGCGCCGGCGAGAAACAATGGGCAGAGTTTCTTTTACCCTATGCCCCTGTTACCTAGCAGTAAAATAGGTACCTGGGTGTTAGTCAGCTGTCACGGGCTGCTTCCTGGGGGTGGAGGCCTGGCCTAGGACCGGGCCGCGGGGACACTAAAAAGCCCCGAAATCATCTCAAGATAACTCAAGATAACCTCAAGATATAACATCTGGGTCTGTCTCGCAGATCTTTTCTTTCAGTTCATTCACTTTGTTGGAGATGCCATTGTCATTTGTGTGTCATATCTTATGACTCGTCTTGGTTACTCTGATGACTGAATTCCCTGCTGAGCTCCCTGATAGGTTGGTATAGTAAGGGAAGGAAGGAAGGGGTGATGAAAGGAGTTGAGGAGAAATAATCAAAAAGAAAAGGAATATGCATGAAGGAAGGATAAGAGGAACTGCAAGAGAAGGGAGGATGGGGTGAGGGGGGGGGGTACATGGGAGAGAGGAAAATATATAAGAGAAGACGCAGCCCAGAACTTGTGTTTACGGGCTATTTATGCCCGTGCCACCTCTTGGGTGGCTTAATCTTTATCAATCAGAGAACTGGTGGAAGGAGGTGGAAGAGTGGGGGTGGTAGTGTGATGAATGGTGAGGCTGGAGTCATCCGTGCAGCAGTGTGAGGAAGCAAGGCGTCAGGAGTGGACAGCAGCTGGTGGAGCTGGTAGCGGCGAGGGAGGCAGGAACACCCAACAAGTCAGGTGTCAGCGAGGAGATGAGTCAGGTGTGTGGAGCTCCGTGGCACACACAGTGAGGGGTATATATCACCTTCTCTGCTTGATTGTTCAATACAACACTGAACTATATGGTTACTAGATCTCTAACCCCATCCATGGAGCACAGAAGAAAATGTATATATGCTGGTTAGCGTTCTAAATGTGTGGCCACGTCTGTGGTAGAAAAAACCAGGTGCTTGTACCTTCACTCTCCGGTACATGTGGTACCTCCAGGTGGTACTCCGTCTGCACCTGGTGTGTGGCTCTGGCGCCCGCTGGCACACTCCTCAGTCTTACCTCACCCCCACCCCCCTCTCTCTCTCAACTCAGTCTTACCTGCCTCTCTTAACCTGCCCTTGTTCTGGTACGCATCTTACCCATAGTTCTCAAGACTACATATCTAGCAACCATTGTTACTTTATGGCAACAGTTAACAACAGTGCGGGGCGAGGTAATGTTTACTGCCACATCCACCAGCGCAGCGCTTCCCAGTAGAGGAAGCCAGGCTCCGCTTGCTGAAGAATTTGGATACTCCACGAGAGGAACAGAGAGAGAAGAGGCCAACATATATCTTCTGACACATTGTTCGTCATAAATACCAAACGCAAACTCGGAATTCTTGTCGTCAGCTTAAGTCATGATATGAGGTGTACAAGCGGTTCCTGGCACAGGCAGCCACCATCCTTATGTATCAGTGCCGTTGACTGTGAGCTACAGTGAGCTCCGCCACCAAGCTGGGCCAGGGATCACACTCCCTCTAGTTGTATTTCCAAAAGGAACTCTTAAATGCTTTAATATATTTCAATTTTCCACAGTCATAATTTTTGTCTTTGATATTAGTCACTGATAAAATTATTATTGTCGATAATATTTTTTAAAGAAAACTTATGTTAACATATGAAAACACTGGTTAAGAGTGAAAGTAAAATGTATGTGTCTATTGATATAGATTTGTTTATAAAAAGTGGAAACTGACCTAGACGAGGTAGGAACCCTTAACACTAGAGGCATGTTAACTCTTGGGCACCTCTACCGTCTGACTCAAGCTAACACAGAGGGTCTAAACCACTTGGGAATATATTTTCAATGACTAAATTGATGTCTGTGTCAACTCGCATCTCCAGCAACACTCTTCCCGCGTGGAGAGTGCCACTTTGTATCTCTGGTGCACTCTTCCTGCGTGGAGAGTGCCACTTTGTGTCTCTGACGCACTCCTCCTGCGCGGAGAGTGCCACTTTGTATCCCTGGTGCACTCCTCCTGCGTGGAGAGTGCCACTTTGTGTCTCTGACGCACTCCTCCTGCGTGGAGAGTGCCACTTTGTATCCCTGGTGCACTCCTCCTGCGTGGAGAGTGCCACTTTGTGTCTCTGACGCACTCTTCCTGCGTGGAGAGTGCCACTTTGTATCCCTGGTGCACTCCTCCTGCGTGGAGAGTGCCACTTTGTGTCTCTGACGCACTCTTCCTGCGTGGAGAGTGCCACTTTGTATCCCTGGTGCACTCCTCCTGCGTGGAGAGTGCCACTTTGTGTCTCTGACGCACTCCTCCTGCGTGGAGAGTGCCACTTTGTATCCCTGGTGCACTCCTCCTGCGTGGAGAGTGCCACTTTGTATCCCTGGTGCTCTCCTCCTGCGTGGAGAGTGCCACTTTGTATCTCTGGTGCACTCTTCCTGCGTGGAGAGTGCCTACCTTGAGGTTACCTTGAGGTGCTTCTGGGGCTTAGCGTCCCCGCGGCCCGGTCGTCGACCAGGCCTCCTGGTTGCTGGACTGATCAACCAGGCTGTTGGACGCGGCTGCTCGCAGCCTGACGTATGAGTTACAGTCTGGTTGATCATGTATCCTTTGGAGGTGTTTATCCAGTTCTCTCTCGAACACCATGAGGGGTCGGCCAGTCATGCCCCTTATGTGTAGTGGAAGCGTGTTGAACAGTCTCGGGCCTTTGATGTTGATAGAGTTCTCTCTCAGAGTACCTGTTGCACCTCTGCTCTTCAACGGGGGTATTCTGCACATCCTGCCATGTCTTCTGGTCTCATGTGATGTTATTTCTGTGTGCAGGTTTGGGACCAGCCCCTCTACTATTTTCCACGTGTAAATTATTATATATCTCTCCCGCCTGCGCTCAAGGGAGTACAGTTTTAGGCTCTTTAGTCGGTCCCAGTAGTTTAGATGTTTTACTGAGTGGATTCTAGCAGTAAAGGATCTCTGCACGCTCTCCAGGTCAGCAATTTCTCCAGCTTTGAAAGGGGCTGTCATTGTGCAGCAGTACTCCACTCTAGAGAGCACAAGCGTTTTGAAAGTATCATCATCGGTATAGCATCTCTAGTGCGAAAAGTTCTTGTTATCCAACCTGTCATTTTTCTTGCAGTTGTGACGGCTACTTTATTGTGTTCTTTAAAGGTAAGGTCTTCCGACATGAGTACACCCAGATCCTTTACATTGACTTTTCGTTCTATGTTTTGAAAGTGGATACAGGACAAGGGACACAAAGGACAAGGGATAAATGACACAAAGTGCCACTTTGTGTTCGTGTGCACTCTTCCTGCGTGGAGAGTGCCACTGCGTGTGTCCCTGACGCACTCTTCCACCTGCTCAGGTGCCATCCCTCAACCTTCCCACTTTACCTTTCCTTTGTTAACTCACTTTCCATAATCTTCTTAGTGGGTTCCTTGTGTTTCACATTCCCTCATATCCCCAGGTGTCTGCGGGTTCATGTGTGTGCGTTCATGTGTACTCACCTAATTGTGCTTGCGGGGGTTCAGCTCTGGCTCTTTGGTCCCGCCTCTCAACTGTCAATCAACTGGTGTACACATTCCTGAGCCTACTGGGCTCTATCATATCTACTGATATCATATCTACTACTATCATATTCTGATGTTAGCCAGCCTCGCATACGCCGCAGTGTGTGTGTGCGTTCATGTGTGTGTGCGTTCATGTGTGTGCGTTCATGTGTGTGCGTTCATGTGTGCGGGTGTGGCAGGCTTACTAGCAAGATAGTCTACACGAGGGGCCGTGTGTTACAACACAACCATTTCTACAACACTACAGACGTGGCCAACACAACAATTTACGGACACTTGGTCACGACACCCTTCACCGCAACACTGCCCTCGCACTATCTCACCAGGCTAGCTTTTTTGTGCTTGCAATCTACCCAGGTCAGAGAGGCCAAATATAAAAACAAAATCCACACACATCTTGCGTATGAGCGGAAGTGCGCAGCCCAGTCTGGGAGAGTAGGTGTGGCCGTAGGGCGCAGTGTGTCAGTGCAGGAGAACCTGCCAGCCTGGTGATCCGGTCCGTGGTGAGCCGGTCCGTGGTGAGCCGGTCCGTGGTGAGCCGGTCCGTGGTGAACCGGTCCGTGGTGAGCCGGTCCGCAGTGAGCCGGTCCGTGGTGAGCCGGTCCGTGGTGAGCCGGTCCGTGGTGAGCCGGGCTGCGGTGAGCCGG